CTGGCTTGGTACAACCAATTAACCTTGATGTGGGTGGACGTGATGTTCCAGGACACTAAGCGTGGACGGGAATGAGAGAGCTGATGGGCTTGTCAGGGAGGGAGCTGCGGCTTCTTTCATTGTGCCCTGAGTGAATGGGAGGACTGGGCCAGGGTTGAACACTGGAATGGTTGCCTGAACCTGTCGCACTCTAAGAAATTTGTGCATCCCCTGGGACTGGGGGGACGTGGTTTGACTATGCTCAGTCGTTCAAATTTGAGGACATTAGTGAGTGTTCTCACTGAACACCGCCTCTTGAGGGTCCATCTGAAAAGGATGGGCAGGGTAGCGGACGAAGTCTGCCGTTTATTCCTGAAGGATGAAACCATGGAACACTTACTGTGTGAGTGCGATGCGGTTGCTCGCCTGCTACTGAGATGCTTCGTTTGGGGGTGGTCTTTGTGACCCCGGGGAGGATTTCGCAGCTGGATGTGGCTGCCGTACTGCCATTTGTCAGGGGCTTAGGTATAGAGCTAGTGCAGGTGGGGATGGGAATCACAAAAAATCCTATGAGTCGACGTGAGGAGGGTCTAAGGTCCCCGGTCCCCGTGAGGGAAAAAACAAAAACTAAAAAAAATAATATGTTTACCTTTTATTGACTTTCTTTTTTGAGATTATTTTTGTATTGATGTTGAACAATTATTATATTTTTATACAACTAAAAATATCGAAAAAAAACTCTGAGGTAATCTTTTAACTTTTTGATATTTTAATGTAGATGGAAAATGCGCCGTAATATATGCAAGAATTTAAGAAAATTTCCTATTTTTTTCCTTTACTCCCAATTCACTTAAATCACATCATACGGTTAAATTCTCTTTTAAAACTTTGATCAATATCTTAATGTTAGTTATAAATTGTTTTATATTATTCCTCAGTTATATTATGAGAAGAATACTTTTGAAAATGACCAAGCTATTATAAACAAGCTCGATGTCAATCTCATCAAAAATCTGACGTGGGTAGCACATAACCTTCTTTCCAAATTTTAGGGCATTAGTAAGCTTATAGTTAACATACCTAGAAAAATGTAGATTTAACTCTTAGTGGAGTTCCGCTTTGTGCTACCAGAATTCCTTGAAATGCTTACCAGTTAGTTTCGGTAACAACCAGAACTCAAATATTAAATTTCAAGAAATTCCATCAATTCGTTCCGTAGATATGGTAAAAAATGTAAAATCGGCCCTCAGATCAGTTTCCGAGCTCTGATATTTCCAAAAAATTTATATGTTCATTGTTTTAATGCGAAGAATTTAAATATTAAATTTCAATTGATTATTTCTTTTTATGTACGCAAAAATGTGTATTTGCCCTGTAGTAAACGTCCAGTTGCTGATGCCTGATTTCTTCCAAAAGTTAGGTGATTTCGCGGACGGTCGAGCGAAGCTTATAATGAAATTTCCAGTAAATCTGTTGAATATTTTTTTCATAGCAATCAAAAATGTAAAACAGGCCTGATATATGAAGTAACTGACTAAAAAGTGCAGTTCTCGAGGCCTGATAAATCCCAAAGGTTGATCAATTCAAAAGTTGATATAGATTTAAGACACTATGCCATAATTATGTTCAACATCATAATTTCAAAATTTTACTTAAATTTCATCAGAGTAACTTCGCGAGCTTCATTATTATAAATAAATAAAAACGGGAAAAAATGTGCTGAAGCAACGTAGAAAAACTATGAATAAATTATTTTACAATATACATGTATTAGCTTAAATAATATAACTAAGGATTTTATTTTAAGTTTCTTCCCGTTTTTAATATTCCAGTTAAAGCTTACATTAATTTTAAATTGTATTCATTACAAAGAAGAAAAAAAATTTCCAGAAGAAAATTCTCCAAATTCTACAATAAAAAATATATTCCGAATATAATCCAATTTTTAAGTTCCTTTTAATTACTTTACAGGTTTTCATTCTCAGAATACGGAAAAACATCGAAAATATCCTTTCATTGTTATACAAAGAATTTATTTACGTTTTATATTTACTAAGAAACTCTCTTTAATATCTCGAAAATTCGCCTTTAATTAAATAGTAAGTAACTCGCTGTTAAAATCAACAACATTAAACAATACTAATATGTATAACAAAAATAATTTGTAAATTCATGTAAATAAATATACACAACATTGTATTTGCATATTTAAAAAGAAATAATAAGTAATTTGAATAAAAATTTCCTAGACAGAGAGACCTTGTAAATAATTAACTATACACGTATACCATTTCAATTTATATTTTCTTAAATAAGGGTAATTTATAACTTATATACATATATATACATTACGTATAATATGTATAATGTACATATTGTATATGTAAGGATTTGAAAAATATTTATTGCATACTGGTATATATCATTTTTGAATAATTCCGTTATTATACTTTTTTCACAAATTACCATGTTATTGATTAATAATTACAATTTTATTTGAAGGTCAAATTGAGGGTTTAAAAAAATTCAGTTTTTTCGGAAGAGAATAAAATAATAAATATAATATTAAGCTCTTGAAATTTGTACAAAATGCTTTGAAATTTTTGATTGTAAAAATAGACTGAGTGTTGTTGAGTTTATTTATTTTTATTTAAATTTAGGTACTTATGTTTTCGATGGTATACGGGCAGCTTACTAATATTTTTTAATTTCAGTAAAGTATTGAAGAAGTAAATTAGGAAATCGAGAATGAAAACGTTGTCAATCTATTAAGAAACGTTGAAGAGTATACAAAATAAGGGTAATAATTTCATTGAAATATAAGGATTAATCCCGTGATGTGGTATTAAAAACAAAAGTATAATCTCGATAACCTATTAGATAATATAATAACGCGACGATTTCTTTCTGTGCTTAACTTTAATTAGTAGTTTTAGTTCATTGCAACCAAGAATGATATCTTTTGTATCCATAGTGAACAAAACGAATTGTAACAAATTTTAAAATTTTCTCTTTGCTTGAAAACATTTCGTAATATAAGAAGAGTTCATTTCAGTTACCTTAAGCTTACACAAACACACAAAAAAAATTAAAAATATTATACAAATTAATATCAGTGTTCTGAAATATTGGCATAAAGGTAAATATATTCCAAGTAAGAAACTTGGAGGATCGTTACCTAAAGTCTGCAATTCTGTTCAATATGTTTGGCAGAATTAATTTTAAGATTAATTTTGTATGTACTCAATTTTCGACAATTTCGCACGAAACTTAAAATTTTTCACGAATTTAAAATATCAAATAATAAATTGAAATTCTTAAATTTTTAAAAAAGTTAGTGATCATTCAATATCAAATGGAAAAATTAATTTCAAAATTAAATTCCATTATTAAAAAAAAAAACCGACGTAATCATTTCAGATGTACGCTGTACTTTCCACTTTACACTGTGTTACTTGTTTACATTTCGATACATCTATGACATTCTATATTTTATTACATTATAGGTTACTCTACCTGTAATATAATAACAGTAGTAATTTTTTGGTTCATTATGAAATCGTTTTAAAATTATTAAGCAAGGCAGATAATATACATACGTACAAAAAAATAGAGTCCATAATAATTCCAATTGCACAGATTACATTAAGGTCTCCTTGGTGAGGTATTATGATTCAATTTTATGGGTTTGTGATACAACTACTATCTATTCAGCAAAAATTTCCAGTATAGATTTTAAACGGAACACTGTTCAGTATTGGAAATTTTGTTACACAGTATCAACAGCTACAACTTTTTTTTACCATTGACATATCAAGGATTTGAACTTTATATTTTTTAATAGAAATATAAATCCTTTTACAATTATAAATATTACTCCTACTACTATTTTATATATGGGCTGATAGAATAAGAGCTAAAATAAAGCATCACACACCATTGAGTTATAAACATTAACGCAAATGGAATCTGAATGAAAATCCTAAATTAAGACTACTGGAGACATTTCGCCAACTCGAAATTTCATGTTATGTCTCTCTGTGGCACAAATCAGTATGTGAGTAAATGTTACCTTTTCTGTTATAGCCTTATCTAAAGCAACAATAATGTTGCTTATGTGCATTCCTATATAAAAGTTGTCTAAGAAAAATATTATTCAATTCAATTAACATAATTATAATAGCAATTGAATTCAATGACAAAGGACAGGATTCTCTTTAGTTATGAATAATAAAGTTTCTTCCTAAAAGTGAAGCAAATTTTTTCCTAACCATTGATTGAAAATCAACCTCATAACACTGTTAGAATAAAATTGATATATTCAAATTATAATACCTACAGAATTTACAAACATTTCAATTTTCTCTGCAAGTTTGTATATAGATAACGTAAAGTATCTTTTTCCTGTACAAAATGAAAAACAAAAAAAGAAAATCAATCAAGGTACCATTTCGTACCCTGTACGATTATTGAATTTTAGTTTTCTAGTCACTATTAAAATTCTTCTTTTATAATCATATTTGTTTTGCTTGACTTCTTCGTTTTAAAAATTACTTTTGAAAAAAAAACTGAAACACAAAAACAAACTTTTATAGATTTTTTCATTTAGTTTATTTCAGCTGCTCAACTAAAATAGTTGAACGATAAAATTTCAAAATACTACCAAAAAAAAAAAAATTAATTCGACAAAAAAAATTATTCACATTCAGCTTTATTAATTTAATATTGTGCAACAGTGGTATTTAAAATTTTACAATAATAATTTAGTCCTTCTCCTTGTTCTCTTTTTTTTTTGTATCACATACTTTATTACACTTTACGAAACAAAAAAACAAAAATATTGTGCACAAATTTAGTAACCGTTGTAATTTTAATGGAATTAACTGCGTTACAGCTAGTAAAAAAATTAAAAAAAAGGAAAGTAAAAAAAAAAAACTAAAAATATTTTTTATAAAATTTACAAAGTGTTAGATGCTTTTAATTGAATAAACGTACAACTATGTATATCACATAAATAAAACAGTACCTGTACAAAATTTTCATTGAAATTAAAATTCAACAATGGTGGTTTAATTTCCTTTTTTTTTTCAAAATGTAACAAAAAAAAAAGAAAAGCATTAAATTTTTTATGTTATTGTTAGTGTTTACCGTTTTCTGTTTTTATATTTTATTACTCGTACTTAAAAAATTCCCAACTGCAATATTTTTATATAAGTATACCATTTTTAAATATTTATATACCATATATGTATGTACATTATGAAAATATGGCAATAATTCTAATTTTCTACTCAAATTGAAAATGTACACATATTTTATGTATATATAGCAATGTGAACAATATAATAATAATAATAAAAATATTCTCGTCGTTCAAGAGAAAGGAAATACAAAAATAATAAAATAAAATATTGAGCGAAAAATAATATAAAAAATTTTTTTAAAAGCATTGTTGTCCCATTTCTAAGGACACTCAAATAATATCACATAAAAATAGTAGAAGTGTTAAGTATAGTTTTATGCAATTTCAAAAAAAATAATAAAAAATTTAAAAAATATAGAAATTAAAAAATAAGAGAAAAAAACGAAAAAAAAAAAATAGATGTGAGAATGAAAAAATATAATGGAAAAATCATAAGTTATAAGGAAGCACTTAAAAATTGCACTGACCTACAAAAATATTTTGAATGTACATAATATTGTACATTTATGTGTGTACATGTGTGTTTATTTAAAAAAAGAAAAAACAATAAAATTATTTCAATTTTGTTATATCCTTATAAAAATGCATTGTTTTGTTTTTCTTTTTTCTTTTCCCAATTTAGAAAGTACCTAAGGTACCAACTAACATTGAAGTCGTATTACTTTTATTTGAATTCTAATAATAATATATTCGCAATTCTATACATGGTGTATATATAAGTATATTATAATATAGATGAAACAACTTGTAACAAAATAACAAAAAGAAAAAATAGAAAACAATAACATTCCTATAAAAATCAATAGTTTAACAGTTATTCTTTTCTTCTATACAGTTATTTTTGTGATAAAACTTGTAAAATGTAACCCATATACGTGCGATTTGATAAACAACAATGCTGCTGCTATGCTATAACAGACGACACAAACATAAAAATCACAATTCACAATGAATATATTATTATTTTATATGTAGTCATACATATGTATGTACTTGCACACATTCATAATAGAAACATAAAATATATAATATTATGTACATATAAATGAACATGTGTACCTTTCAATCAGGTGTATGTACAATAAATTGTATAGCTACTCTTACACATTTACTATCGCATTATTTTATATTAATGCACGTATACACCTATGTATATTAAGTTACTTATATTTACCTTTACCTGTATCCATATCAGGTGGGCATACATACAATCATGATAGGTACTATACACACAACATCACACAGAATATATACTTAAAAGAATAACATATTGCTTAATACTATTTTTTTATTTCTTTTTTTTTTTTACTTTTTGGTAGAAGCAATAACATACAGGAAATTCTACGGGTGCAATAAGAATATTAGAAATTTTAAAAATAAAATGAGTGTAAAGGTGTTTTACCACCTGTCTTATAGTATACACTTTATGTATAGAAACACACAAAATAAAAAATAAAAATAAACCTAATAAGTGGGGTTGATTCATAACAGTATTTTTATTATTTTTTTTTTGTTTAGCGTTTTTGTTGTTTCTCTTATTTTGTTTCAGCTATTTATTTACTATTTTTATTTGTTTTGTTTCTGTATTGTTCTGCCATACTTTTCATCAATTTGTTTACAGACGTGATCATATAATTACCAACTCCTTAAAGAATAATAATTTTGTTTGTTTGTACTTATAGGGTCGAAAACGTTCGTTCACGTTTAGTAATTATGAACTAAGTGGAAATTATATTTGTGTTTTTTTTTGTTTAGTTTATATTTTATCTTTACAAGTGATTAAAAGATTAATTTCATAGGATACTTAATCCGTTCAATATAGAAGTTTGTCCAAAGTAAGTGTTTAAGTTGTGATTATTTTTATTTAGTTTTCCTAGTGAAATTTAAATTTTACGAGTATGTAGTTTATTTTCATATATGCGAATTATTTTCTAAAAGCCCATTTATAAATTTTTTTGGTTAGAAAAATTCTTTGGCATCGAAAGAAGGTGCGAAAACACAATTAATGTAATAATTATGAGACAATCATAAGTCGTTATTAAAGTTTTCTAGAGATATTTGAGCACAAAGTTGCTTTAAATGAATTTGAGTACAAAGACCTGGCAAAAAATGGAGCTATAAGAATTTAGAATATGGTATATAACTTCTTACTTTTGATTCTTAACTCCAGTTACATTTTATTTGAGGCTCAATTTTTTTATTTTAGCAGATTTGTAATTTGGTAACTGAGAGACTTATTATTTACTAAATTTTCATAGTTTATTTATAAATACAATTGGAAAATAAATAAATACAATATAGAAACTAAATAGTATATATACTAATTTATAGTTATAAATCATAAAAATATTGTCGTTTTATTATGTAATTAATAGTTATGTATTACATACATACTTGCATACTTTTATACATGTATTATCTACATACGTTCTTAATCATATATTTAAAAATTTTCGTTTTTATACCAGATAAAGTGGTTCGAACTCAAAAGAATTTAAAGTTATGCGAAAGGTACAAGTTACTAGAACTTCGATGTGTACACTTGACGCATAATATTTATATTTCAAATAGCTACGTATTTTAAGACAACATGAAAATATGAATAAAAATAATTTTATTCAATATACTATCTTAATATTTATGATATAAAATTCAGTTTTCAATCCTTTTGTTATTGAATAACATTTTTAAACGGAAACTGATAAAAATTTGTATATCTTTAAATAAGATATACAAATTTTTATGTGTGCCTCAGTTCTATGATTATGAATTGAAGCTGATTTTGACTATTTTGTAATTAATTGTTTCAAATCAATATAAATCATAGAGATCTCATAAAACTTTTCAAAAATATTAAGCATGTATGTATGTATGTATATGCAATTTAACTCTTTCCCGCATATTGCTTATGTATATAAACAAACATGATACATTATAAAAACTATGAGAGAATAATGACATTTTATATAAAGATTGTACATATAAATATTAATATACAATCTTGTAGTATTATATGCCTTAAATACATAAAACAAAAAATTTCTAGGACATTTTTTTTATTAAAAATATTTTTGTCTGTATTATAAACACGTGATTAAATGTGACTGTCTATAATATTTGCGAAAGAAACAGCAAAAATTTTGTAAAAACTATGTAATGAAATAATTTCATTGCCAAGAATAATGTAGGTTCTACATAATCTAAATGATTGTATTCTACTTCTATAAATAATATATCTAAATATTATAATCTAGGTTAAACAATAAAATAAAAGTATAATTTTATTTTTGACATGAAAGTTTGACAATGCGTAAAAATAGTTTTATTTTTATATAATTTAGGTAATGTTTATATTTACATTTTAGGTTTTATTTTTGTTATTGGAAAATATAAAGGCTTGGTTTTAGTTCTAGTTTTTTAACTTCATATTTCTATAAGGAGCTTCTGAATAAGTCAAAAAGAATTCCGTATACTAAGGATTAAATTACTCGTTATAGCAAATATGCATATTAAATAACAAAAAATTAATTTATTCTTGAATTAAGCATTTGATTTTGACTTTACGGCTATAAATGTACAGGGTGGTAAAAATTATGGTCGACTCTGGGCCCTACTCCAGCGCACACAAAGTGTCAAAACTTTGAGGAAATCTTATAACTAAAGGAACCACAAAGTGGTTTTTACGACAAAAGAGAATATTTTTCTGTTTAAAAACTACAACTCGTTAAGGTAAAACTTAAATTCGAGTCTAAAATTTTTCAATGGGCCCAAAAAATTTTCAAAAATTTCATATAGTATTTCATATATTTTCATATTCTGACCATAAAATTTTTATAATTATTTTTTACAACTCCTACACATCAATTATTTAATAATTTGTGTACGTCTGTAGTTGAAAAGGACTAAACACAAAAATTTACTATATTTCTATTTCGAAATTGTTTTTGCTTTTTTTTTTTGTGTTTGTTATTTAGCATTTTTTGTTGCTTTTTTTTCTCAATGTATTTAACCATACAGAAATAAATATAATATAGTTCTGAGAAAAACTCTGCACTTAATTAAATAGCCTTATTTTAGTCGCCTTTTTTTAGTCGTATTTTGTACTATATTTGGTTTTTGTTCACAATACAACCAGTTAAGTCGATTATTAACCTTAAAAGAGGAATGAATAAGTAAATATAATATAGAAGGATTTTGAAAATAACAATTAGTTTGAATACTCGGTTGATAAAACGAGCATAAAGAATTAAAACAAATGATTTATTTTTAAATTTTATTCTATTTTACATGTAAGTTTCATGTGTTAATATTATTTATAAGTTTTTGTTGCAAACTAACCCATGTTTTCATAATTCTTTAAATTTAGTAGTTTAAAAATCATCCAATTTCTATTTTATAAACAATATTCGAGAGTCTTACACGATTCAAATTTTATTTATCTTGTGTATAGTGTAAGTATTCATTTAGTTACAATATTAAAAGTATTATGAAACATTAAGAATAACACGCCCCGTTAAATATATGTACGTGCTTATATGGAATTGTTTACCACAAACACTTCTAGACGAAACTATTTATGGTACCTGTTTATTATAAAACTTATGTTTAGAAAAATAAAAAAACCTTAAAAAAAAAAATTAATAATTTATTTTTAATTTTAAAAGATTTTTTTTTAATTTTTAGTTGGAGAACTTCTTATTTTTATGCCATCCGCATTTCCTGCAAAAATGTTCCCGAAAAGTGAACATACTGAACTAGACAATTATAAATTACAAGTGGAAATACTTCAACAAAAACTAGCGAAAAGGTAAAAAATATCATGAACATTTTTATTATTCTCTTTTTTCTATTTTATTTTTGTAATCTGCACATTGTTACTTTCATTATGTTCAAATATTTTTGAGGATTAATAATACCACCGTGAACTTATTTTTCATTATTTTTCGATTGTAGTTGCAACATGTAGCGTAATATTACAGGATAAGTAAAATATTCCAAAACAAAAGATTGTCTTTAAATTTTTCTCTAAGTAGCAATGTGTTATTTGTCGTACTAATTAAAAAATTTCAATATAATTGAATTAAATATTAAGAATGTAGTTTCTTAATTAAAAATAACTGAATTTAATAAAGCAAAATCACTTCAAAGAGACACAAATTGTTTCAAAGATTTTTGACTGCCCCGAGATGTTTTCGTTTACATTATTATGTTACTAAATGAAAAAATAGAGATTTTTATTTTGTTGCTCTATATTTTCATGAAAAATTTTCTTACTGAATTAAATGTCAATCGTGAAAAAATAATAGTCGCAACATGAACATGAAAGTTAATACTAGTTTTAATTAAATTTTTGAATACCTCAACATATTTTCTCTTACGAATTAAATAAAAGTAGTACAATAATTGAAATTAAATAGTACAGTTTCTTATTATCTTATTGAAAATCAACTTTAACACAAATATGAAACCATGACTTTTACCAAAATTTATCCTTTTGTAACTACGATTTTCCACAACATCTTTAATTCTTTAATATAAATTTTATTTTATCTTTAATTTTTGTGTTTTTTACTGCGGACATCAAAATAAATGTTACAAATTTTGTAAAAATTTTTTTTTTAAAATACTTTTTACGCTTTTCGATACAATTTCCAATGGCTAAAATTTATTAATTTTGCAGTGAAGAACAGCGTCAGCAACTTGAAGAAAAATTTGAAAAAATTCAAAAGAAAAGGAATGAGAAGTAAGTTTTTATAAGTTTTTTTGCAAGACAAAGAATAAAATTTATGACTATGTTTTTTTGTTATTATTTTATTTTCGTTTTTCTTTTTGTTACATTTCTAAATTGAAATTTTTAAAACTATTTAAGTGAAAAATCGATTAAAGCCAGAAGCCGAGCTAAATTTGAAGAATTTTTGGATAAACAAAGAGAGCGAAATGAAAGGAATAAAAAAATTATTCGGATGCTTGAACATATTGATCAGCAAGCCGCATTATTAGCACAAAGAAGTAGTCGACTGAAGGCAATGAAGGTGAAATTTATTTCAAATTTAAAGAATTACACTTGTTATAAAAGTTGATATATCTTTTAGCGCCAATATGAACTTTATTTTGCCAGATTATTACAATCGCAGGCTTTTAGAATCCAGCAAGCAGCCCGATATTCATTTTTGCCAATAAATCAATATCCGACTCTAACTCAGCCACATGATTATACTCCTATGCTGGAATCAAAAGGTAAAATACCAGACTTACCAGCAACAATGTTAGGTTCACAAAATACCTCTGGTTTAGGAAATATCCCAGCAATTACAACTATTCCAGCAACACCACCTGCTAATATTAGTCCCAGGGCACAAGCTCCAATTCAACCTATACCGATGCCAATGGAAATGAATAATTGGAATTATATGACTCAAAGTTATCCGGGTACAACTAAAGTTCAGAATCCAAATTTTATAGGCATAGCAAGTTCGGATATCGTTCCATCTTATAATAGTTTTCCATACAATATGCAACCTAACCCTTTAGAATTTTACAAAGGGACTGCATTGTATAATTATCCGAATCCAACAAAAGTAATTCAAAATAATGACATATCCCAACAACAGGCATGGGATTATCCAAGCTTCTCACAAAATAATAACGTAACAAGTAGTCCACGAAAACAACACTCTTATTCCAATTCTGGATACATGAAAAACAAACCGGATATAGATAATACAATAGCTTCACACAGAGCCTCACCTTCCATTCAAAGAACATTTAAAGATTACGATGCTGCGGACCAACCTCTAAAAAGTTTTTCAAAAAAAAATGTGAATGAACACGGTGAGTTATTGTTTTTGTAATGATTGAGCATTTTTCCTACAAACAATTATTTTCTTTTAGGGGCTACTAGAGGTGAATATAATTATTCTAAAGCTACCGAAGATGATTTAGATCTGCTAAAAAAATTAAATTTAAGAAATCGTATGAGAACCTTCAGTGATTCAAACGAAAATATATCTCAACCTGATGGAAATCAAGAACAATATTCTCGTAGTCATAGAGAGTCATATCTAGATCCATATGCCCCTGTATCACCAACTAACGACTTTGGAGGTCGATACGTCCCCAGATCTTCGCACTCTAGATCTTCTTCCGTGGAGAGTAAAGTTGCTGCGCCTTCGAATTTCAAGCAACCACAACAAGAAGATAATTATAGTTCCAGGGCAGAAGTAAGTGAAAGAGAACCCTTACAACCATATTCAAGGTTTTCTGATATGCAATCATCCGGTAAAAACATTAGTAGCGAGAGAACATCGAATGCATACCGGAATTCTGATAATACAGAATCCTCCCAGATATTGGGTGATGATATGCAAAGACAAGGTGATAATTTAAAACGTCCACAATACGCAGAAGTTCCAGCATCTAAACAATATAGTCAGCATCAGCAATATAACAGACAGAATTCTACATCAAATTTACCAAACATAAATACTATTCCAGCCTCTGATACAATAGGCAGTGCGAATGGCACTGTAATATCAAATAGTGATAAGATAATGTTACCTTCAAAAAATTACAAATCAAGTTTTTCAGCATATCCTGAAAATGGTCCGGACTTATCCTCACCACCCCATTATAATGATGATAGCAGTGCAGCTGATAAAAAACAACGACCAGCATTACTGAAAAAGATTCAAATACCTGACTATCTTTCGTCTAAAAGTAATGTTGAGAAAAGTGAACGTACTGATGCTGATATATATAAATTACATCAACCATCAGGTATGGATCCATCACCTATTCAATTTGCTAAGAAAGAAAAATTGAAGCTTGAAAATATTGAAAATGATATTTATGGTGACATCATAAATCCAGAAATTTCGATGTCTTCAGGTAATTCTAATAATGGAGTCTCACAAGTTCTAAGGCAACATCAAACACCAGCTGAAATTCTTGCACAAACTAATCAAAGTCGAAAACCAGTTATGGACACATTTAAACCGCAAGTATCAAGCTTTCAAAATGCTCCTCAACAACATGAAAATCAAATAGAAAAGTCGGATATAAGTGAAAAATCGTTAAAACATAAAATAGACCCTCCCAACCAAAGAAATCTAAACGTGAACTTGGAAAAACTTAAAATAAATGAGCCCGTTCAAAAGCAACAACATAACATACCCCCGACGCCACTAATGGAACATTCTCCGAAGATAAATAGACTGCCAGAAACTGCTATAAGGGAAAACATCACACCTAAACTTCAAGAAACTTCCCAAAATAAATTGGAGGAATATGAACCGACACCACAAGAAACCATTCCAGAATTCTCACAAAAAATGGAAACGCCAGAAGTTGAAAAAAGCCAAATAAACAGTAAACCAACATTTGATTATGATAATGCGCCTTCTGCAAATACCGAAAATTATGAACAGCAAGCAGAAACTCAAATAGACACTTTTAGTGGACAAGATCAATATCAAAGTGACGCAGATCCTTCAAACATTCAACCTAATATAGATAATCCGGAAATATACCCTGAAACCCAAAATTATATAGAACCTACTGAATCAAATGCCAATGTATACCAAGAAGATCAGCAACAATATGATAATACGCAAAACTACCAAGGGTATGATCAACAAAACTACGATCAAAACCAACAAAATCAATATGAAAATTATCAACCTGATAACAATTATCAAACCGATTACGACCCTAACACATATGACTACAGCGCTTATCAGCAGCAGGGTGATGGCACATATGCAGGGTATGACCCAAATCAACAATATTCTGAACAAGACTATGGTCAACAAGGATATCAGGATCCAAATTATTCAGATCAACAATACAATCAACAGGAGTATCCCAGTGAGCAAAATCAAATTGATCCAAATCAATACGATTATTCTCAGCAGAATGTTCCCACAGAAAATTACGAACAACAAGGTGTTATACAAGATCAATCACTAGTGCAAGAAAACAAGCCCGTTGTTGATCAACAACCCGAACCAAGTCCAATTCCTCCTCCTACAGCTCCACAAAATAACAGTAGTCCAAAAGGTCAGTCAAAATCTGTAAAGCCTATTTTAACTAAAGAAAAATCTGCAGACGCAAAAAAAAAACGAGTAAATTTTATTGATTCAAGTGACGAGAGTAGTAAAACCCAACAGCAGCAACAGCCTACAACTACTGATGAAAGTGACTTTGATTTTTCATCTCAATAAGATGGAAGTAACCATACAACATCTAGAATTTTGCTAATTCACTATGTAATAAAACTCAGCACTAATTAAAAAATGAAGAAATATAATTACAAGATTACAAAATATTAAGTTTCAAAAATTGTATAATAATTTATTACCAATTTTCACATAAATGTATCTTCCGCCCGCATATTCAATTATCCTATTTCGCATAAAAATAATATTGGTAAAACTAAAATACAAATTATATTAATATTGCAAAGCTAAACCCAATTGCGAAACGTAAATCTTCAAGACCTCATTATTAGATCTTTCGAGAATTAGAAAATTGGGGCTTTAATAATGAATATTCTTTAAATTTCGCATCACAAAACTCAAAAATACTGTAAATTTCACCTTGAATATAGCATCCAATTTTTTTTATTAAGGAATAAAAAAAAGATTCACAATCTGTAAAGCCTAAGCAACGCAATTTTCGGTTTGTTTGAATAAAGTTTAACATCCTTTAAATAAATACAGTCACAAATTTCGAACACAGAGCTAAACTAGTAAAAAGTAAAAATTAATATCAACCCATTAATTTTATAACCATATTTCTAAAATTAAAGGAAAAGAACTAAAATTTTATATAAAAATTGAAGATATAATAACACATAATAACTTTATGGTGTAGCTTTTGCTCCAAGTTTTTCTCATTTTCCAGTAATGCTTATTAATTAAATTCAAAATTTACTAGATAAAATTTGAGCATTGCTGTAAAGACACTAATTTCACATTAAACAAAAATGACCAAAATTAGATAAGTGAACCTGTTTGAGAATGTCACCATATCCTAAATTTTTGAAAACTGTAAAATTGAAAATTATAGTTACACCCTGCGATTAATATTTGAGGTTTTCAAAAATGGATAAAATCTTTGAAATTTTAATATTTTCTCAACAATGTAAAATTTCCCGTGATACCAAATCTCGCCAACATTTACCAAAATTACATTTAGTCTCAAATTAATATATTTTGTTCCACCAAAAAAGAAATGTTATAAAAATTCATAAAAGAACTTTTTTCCCTCTAACTGAAAATTTATCCTGCCAATGAAAGCTCCTGATGAAATTTTTGCTGTTCATGGTAAAAAAAGAACAAAAATAATACTGAATCCGGACCGTAATTTTTTATTTCCAATTCTGTATAAAAGGAATTTATGAACTTGATATGCTGAGCAAATAAAATTTCTATAATAGTTAATTGGCCCAAATCCAAATTTACTGAAAAAAATCTCAAAATAATATTGGTATGAGCAATTATATTGCAACATTTTAAGTTCTACAAATTCATACAAACGCAGGGATATCGAAAATATTATATTTTAAAAACGATTCTTTATTTGGGCTAATTTTACTTTTTTCTATTTTTAAATTTGTTGGTGAAAAAGAAAATTCCACTTATTGCTATTTGGCTAAGTTTAATAGGTTATGCACCAAATTTAACCACAAACATAATGTTTCTTAAATTAAGTAGAAGGGAAAAGTGGGATTGCAATGAAATCAAATTCGTTAATCGAATTGCACTAAGAATTTCTTTATAAATTAAGTTGAAGCATAATTTAAATAAATAAAAATATGTTTGTGTTGATTATTTGAAAGTGTTAGTATATTCCTTCGCGCTGACGTTAATTCATAGCATTTGGGTCTTGTGTTGCTTACGTTAACAGTGATAAGAAACTGCAATTTCAAACACAATGTATGTTTGTATGCAATTTATTTTTATAGCAAAAAATTTATTATTGTGTGCATTCTTAAACCTCTAAAAGCACTAAAAACGTAATTTATATTTTTAATTGTAATAATTTGATCTTTTGCAACGTAACAGATTTATTCTCATTAAATAAACGAGCTAACTTTGATTATTATTTACATTGAGCTTGTTATATCAAGTGAAGATCGTGATTTGAAGAAGTGATAGTACAAGTTTTAATTATTGAGAATACTAAAAGTACATAATATGTTTTTCTTAAGCATTATCTCCGAAATCCAATCCGACTGTGTATAAAATTAGAAACAGCCAACGTTAGAAGAAATCGATGGTCACTTGAATGAAGGTATAGTAATGGTAGTCCATTAAATTTGCGGAAATCCTTTGTTCTAATTATTAACATGTTTTAATTCACGGACAAACGAATCGAAGGTTCTTCTTTTGCAATATCTGGAAAAAAAAACAAACATTTTTAATTTCGTGTTTTTAATACCAAATTTCGTATTTTAAAATCATCACTTAAAAAAATTATTTTCTTTTATCTGTTTGTGTAATACAGCGCATCATAGGCATTCCAATTCATTTTATGAAGAAGAGCAGCAGCATATTTTTTTTTTTTAATTTTTAATTTAACTTCATAGCTTTTATTTGTAGCCGTTCTTTATAATTTTGCATATCATTTTATTTTTACGTTTTTTCTTTCGTGATATTCTAGGAGACCACGTGTTTAGGTCATAAATATGAGATCCAACACGTTTTTCAACTTTTTGAACATGTATTTTCATAATACTGAAAGAAAAAAAAAACAAAAAATATGTAGATATTTAAAAAAAAAATGCGAAATGAAAATTTTTACCATATTTTCATTTATAAAATGGAAAAACGACACTGTTATTACATACAGGTTAAATTTGAGAATGATGAATGGTCCGAGGTCATACAGATGAAAGTTTTTATGGTAAATTAAGTCCGAATTTTTCTTAAAATTCCTTTTAACTTATTTTCATTTCTTTTTTGTTTTTATTTTTTACATTTTATACGTTTTTACAGCGTGAATGGAATTTTTAATAGGATTCAAAATAATCTCTTTGGATATTGAAACAAACAAGGACAATATACACGCCATACATAATAGGAACAATAAAAATGTATTGTAATCATAATAGATAAGGAAACACTTATAAATTGTTTCAGTTTGAAAATTGGAAGCAGAAAAAAAATTTATGAAAAATGTGTGCATAAAATGTGTGTGCATGAAATTTTAACTTTTAAAATAAAATATAGAAAACTTTTATAAGGGAACATTTCTACTAAAAACTTCCGCGCGTTCAATGCTGTGTCCCAATTTATATAAGTGCATTTATGTATGCTTGGTAATTTCTATAGATAATTTAAAAGTTTAATAAATAAAAATTATATTTTTATTTAATTATATAACTTTAAATTTATTTTTTGGCACGAAACATAAATCAAATTAAAAAATTTTTAATTTCTATTTAAAGAAAAAACAAACTAATTTTATATTACTTGAGCGAAATAAGCCTGCAATTATTGAAAGAAACCAACATATTTTAATTTTTGAAGGCCGCAATAGATTGAAAACTGTAACATAAGTAAAATTATTTTTGAATCTATTATTTGCAAATATTTTAAATACAAGAATTTAAGACCAGTAATTTTTGTTCCTTAATCAATTTGTACGCTAACTGATTAAAATAAAATATTTATATAAATAAGGATCTCTTAAACATCGGTCTCGACAAGAACGTACGTAAACACACAAGAGCTATAATAATAAAATTTTAATAAATCAAATTTTTCTTCTCGTTTTCAAAAACGGAAATATACGAGTATGCAAGTATATCTTTTCTAATTTCTTTTCCTGACTGAAAAAAAAAATTAAAATGGAAATTTAAAATGACAAGTTTGAGATATTGGCTTTATTTTTCTGTATAACAGTATCAATAATTTGTATAACAGAGCTAGAGTAGTAAGTAACCTGTATTTACGGAATGACATGTAAAAGTAACCAAATTAATAAACGGGAGGCATTTTCATATGAAACATTCTTACATACCTAAGTATGGTAGCAGCAGTATCAAAAAATTTTTTGATTACATGATTTTTTTTTCACATTAAATTCAATATCGATAAAATAAATATATAGAAAATACACCACACATATTTATTTTATGTTACTACAAAGGAATGATTTCTTTTTCTTTTTCAAAAGGATTATTCAAACAAGTCATATTAATAAATCTTTGTCGTAAATCTTGATATCCTTCTTAGAATAAATAAACAAAACTGAAAATTGAACCCTTTTCATTCCTGCAAATTTTGTTGTTTTTGTTTTTTTTCATTTTTATTCATTCAACTTGTATGTTTATCAAAAAAATCGGGACCGCAGTAATACATGTTATATTATATGTATGTATGTGTAAGTATAAAAAATTTTATATTAGTTACCTGTATTTTATTTCTTCATCAAAACTTGTAACCATTTTGTACAAGCCTGATTTTACTTTGTAGGTGAATGTTTATTGATTATTTTCTAAATACTGTAAGTGATATTTTTCTGACGGATAAGAATTTTTTCTAAAGATTTACCAAAAAAAATAAAATAAAATTTTATTTCTATAAAAATAAATTAAAAAAAAAAAGCGTTGAATACGTATAGAAGATTTTCCTTTTCTTTTGAAACTCCAATAAGTTATTCTATTTTCATATCCTTATACGGTATACATAATATACACATACATGTACACAGTGAAACTCAATTTTAAAATTTGAGTTTTTTGTTGTTTTTGTTATTCGAATTTCCTTTATGTATTTTAAATTTCAAATTTATATTATTCTTATTTATATTTATGTATTTTATTTTGCTTTCCTTTCTGGTTTTCAATAAACAAGGATTCTTTATCTATTTTGGTTTACCTGTACATATATACATAAAATAAATAATTACACTGGAAAAACATATTGAAAATAATTTAAATTTTCATGTCTTGTATAGAATATAGAAAATATAATATATTATGAAATGAAAAGAAGGTTCAAATTAAAAAATTATATTAACGCATAATTTTTTGCTTATCCTTTTGGTTTCTTTCCAAATATAACAATACAAAACAAACCTAATATAAGTAGAATCGTGTACACTTTTATTAATCAAATGAAATCTAAATGTATATAATAATAAGCTTAAATATACACAGGTGTAATAATATAAATAAATCAGATCTGCTTTGTTATATAAAATTAAAATATGAAAATAAT